TCTTTGCCCCACTCTCCCTCTCTCTCTCTGCCCCTCTCTCTCTCTCTCTCTCTCTCTCTCTCTCTCTCTCTCTCTCTCTCTCTCTCACCCTACCTCTCTCTCTCTCTTTCTCTCTCACACTACCTCTCTCTCTCTCTCTCTCTCTCTCTCTCTCTCTCTCTCTCTCTCTCTCTCTCTCTCTCTCTCTCTCTCTCTCGTTCTCTCTCTCTTTCTCTTCTCTCTCTCTCTTTCGTTCTCTCCCTCTCTTCTCTCTCTCTTTCGTTCTCTCTCTTCCCGGTCTGATATGTCGTTCATTTCTTCAATCCTCGTTTTCATTTCCCGTATTCTACCATGTCTTGTTTTCTCAATTAGCTTCTATTATTTTCTTCTTCTTTTTTCCACGTGTGTTGGTGCATCAGGAATGCATCAGGAAGAGATCTCTGGTTTCCAACCGTGGTTTTATATAGAATAACATGTTTTAAATGTTTTATGCTTCGTGCGATATTTCTTTCTCCTGATGCATCTTAGAGTCCATGTATTGCGTCAGTGTTGTTTTTCTTTTGCTTTGTGTTGGGATGTGACATTTTTCCGTTTTGCTGCTGTTTGTTTGATAAACGGGTGGTGCATTTTGTGTATGCAAGAAAGTGGGTTGTATTGATCGTCTCAAGTAAGGTTCTTTGACTTTCCACCTTGAGTGCAGTCATTTGAACTGGAATAAGTGCAATCCATTTTGTTGTTATCATGAAATGTATTGCCTCAAAATATGTCGTGTGACTTGTCCACTAGGCTTTCGATTTCCCCCACTTAGCTGGGGAAGCGATTGCCTATTTTTGTCGCCGACAAAAATACGCGATAGGCAATTATGGAAAACATTTACAATTTTTGTTTTCCATATTTTTTTTACCAATAATATAGTGTAATTGATACATTACACTGCATTACAGATATAAATGAAAATCCCATTCAGATAGCTTAGGAAGAGCTTTTTTCTTTCCTTTTTTTCTCAAAGCACAAAACAAGAAATGATGGAAAACATGAACACATTTGTTTTCCATTAATGTCTATTTTGAAGTATAGCATTATACGTAGTTCTAGTATGGTATTTTCATCCAACTATTTACATAGTCAAGTTAATGAATCCATCTAGTTAAAATGAATGATTCCTACTATATTGGTCACTAATCTCCATATTTAACTTCAATATAATATATTTTTTCACAAATTTTTTAATTAAACTTGAAAAAAAAAATCTCGTCCGATCGATCGTAATAGGTTGCTCCGCAACCCAAAAAAATAATAGGATCTCATAAAAATGAATCTCCTATAATCTACAAGCATCTAATACCTGAAAGGAATCAAATTTGTTGAAATTTTACAAGTGTAATATGTCTAAATATTACAATATTGGGTTGGTACGAGGGTCAACAAAATCAATGACTGTGTCGCACATGGATGTTAAATTATATATTGTGTTATATAATTGGTAGGCTTGGTAGGTTATTGAACTCTACTGTAGAGGGTACTACTCCCTCCTTGTATGCCTCTCTCGTCCTAGTCTCACCCTCTTTTCTCTTGTAACTTTCTCCCCTACCTCCTAAACCTCTCACCATTTCATGACCACCTACCTTCCTAGCTAACCTAGCTTCATAATAATTGATTCCAGTGGCCGTGGGTACTGGCATATTTTTGTCGATGACAAAAATAGGTTGTCGCTTCCCCAGCTAAGTAGGGGAAGTCTGTCAATTTATACATATTAGCTGTGTACAAGTTATAGGCTAGACTGGGGTATGCTTCTAGTGAGTACAACCAACTAGTATTTGTTCTAGGTTTCTACTTCTAGTTCACACAGTTCTTACTTTAACATGGTATCACGCGTAGGTTAGACTCCCCTCCACCTACCGCTTCCGGCCGTACCCTAGCTAGGCCCCGCCGCTTCCCCCTGGGCCCCGTCGCGCCTCCTAGCCCGGTCGCGCCTCCTAGCCCCGTCGCGCCCCTCCCAGGCCCCGTCGCGCCTCCTAGCCCCGTCGCCCCCCCCCGCCCCCCCCCCCCCCCCCCCCCTCCTGGGCCTCGTCGTCCCCCTCCTGGGCCCCGTCACACCCCTCCTGGGCCCCGTCGCGCCCCTCATGGGCCCCGTCGCACCTCCTAGCCCCGTTCCGCCCCCCCCTGGGACCCGTCGCGCCTCCTAGCCCCGTCGCGCCCCTCCTGGGCCTCGTCGCGCCTCCTCGCCCCGTCACGCCCCTCCTGGGCCCCGTCGCGCCCTGCCTGGCCCTGTCGCGCCCGCCTGGCCCCGTCGCGGCCTGCCTGGCCCCGTCGCGCCAGCATGGCCCCTCCGCGCCTGCCTGGTCCTGCCGCACCTGCCTGGCCCCGCCGCGCCTCCCTGGCCCCGCCGCGCCTGCCTGGCCCTACCGCGCCTGCCTGGCCCCGCCGCACCTGCTTGGCCCCTCCGTGCCTGCCTGGCCCTGCCGCGCCTGCCTGGCCCTGCCGCGCCTGCCTGGCCCAGCCACGCCTCCCTGGGCCCGCCGCGCCTGCCTGGCCCCGCCGCGCCTGCCTGGCCCTGCCGCGCTTGCCTGGCCCCGCCGCGCCTCCCTGGCCCCGCCGCGCCTCCCTGGCCCCGCCGCGCCTGCCTGGCCCCGCCGCGCCTGCCTGGCCCCGCCGCGCCTGCCTGGCCCCGCCGCGCCGGCCTGGCCCTGCCGCGTCTGCTTGGCCCCCCCACGTCTGCCTGGCCTCTCCCACTGCTTGCCCGGCCCCTCTTCGTGCCTGCTCGGCCTGCCGTGCCACCTCGGGCTCCGTCTACTCTGCTCGCCAGCGCTGGGGCGCCTCGCGGTCGCCGTGCTGGAGAGTGCCGCCGCCATGTCCCTGCGTCGCTGTGTTCCTGCGGAGCTGTGGAGCTAAGCCGCTGACCCTACACGATGGCTGAATTCGTGCTCCGACTGGACGTCGAGGGCCATGCGGTTGACTTCGCCGCCTGGCTCTCCGATCTCCGCCGCCACCTTACAGGTTAGCGCCAGGATGGCCACTCTTTGGTGGTCCATGTCGATGGCTTGCTCCCCCGCCCCCCCGCACCTGCTCCGCTCCCTGCTGACCCCTCCTCTGATGACCGTGAGACCTTCTCTACTGTTGCGCTTGCCTGTGCGGTCCGGGACTCCCGCGATGCAGTCGCTCAGGTTGCTATTAGCCACGCCCTCCCTGTGTGTGAGCGCTCGCGTTTTGCTACTGTTGAGACGACCAAAGCTTACTTAGACGCCGTTATTGCTCGCTATTCCACACCCGCATCTGCTTCTACTGGCCGCATGCTCTTCCCGATGCTGTTCCCAGACCTTGCAGCCTTCCCTACCGTCGCAGACTTTGCCACTCACCTACGTGCCCTAGAGACCCGCTATCGCACTGCCAGTACTGCTGCCCAGCTCACTGCGCTCCGCCCCCCTTTCTGCATGACGCTTTATTTTATCGCCATGCGCCTGCCAGACCGCCTCGCTAGTGCTCGCAATCACTTCCTTAGCCAGCACCCAGGTGACTTCACCATCACCGCCTTTGTCGATACCCTCACCGAGATCGAGACTCGCCAGCCCACTATCGCTCAATCGAGAGGTGTGCCGACAGTCTCTATCTTTCACGGCTGTGCCCCCTCCCAGTGCACGTTCACTGACGTTTCGGCTGCGGTCGCCATGGCGACCCTTCTCACCGAGACGGCTGCTGCGGTCCACCCGCAGCAGCGCTCGCGCCGCGGTGGCCGTGGTCGTCAGGGAGGTAGGGGTGGTGGCGTAGGTGGTGGTGGTGGTGGTGGTGGTGGTCGTCACGGTAGTCCGCCTGAGGGGACTACCACCGGTGGGCAGGAGCAGCAGCCCCAGCAGCAGCCGCCGTCCCAGCAGCACCCGCAGCAGCCGCCGAAGCCGTGGGCCCGTCTCCCCCCTGGTTGGCCCGGCACCTCCGCAGGTAGTGGTCGTGGTGGCGGCCTGCGCAGCTTTGTGTCTACCGGCAGCTCCGGTGCTATCACTTGCCAGTACCAGCTTCAGACCGGGCCTCTTCGCGGCACTCTGTGCCGCCGCCCGCACCCGACCGCCCGCTGTTTCCGCCGCCTCGACGATCTCTTTCGTCGTCGCTTTGGCCCGGCCCCGGACCTCCCCGACTGGCACAGCCTGCTCTGCCAGGGCGTGCCGATCTTTGAGTTAGACATGGATCAGATAGGTGCTGCTTTGCATGCCTTGTATTCTGACGCTTCTAGTGTTGCTGGATCTTATTACCCTGTGTACTCTAGTTTAGGTGTTGCCCCATTGTGTAGCTTAGCCTCCCCTGCTGCGTCAAGCGTAGGACTGCCTCGTTTGCCTAGCCTAGTCTCTGCACCGGCTCCGTTCCCGGCCTCCGCCGATGCTTCGCTGTCCTTCACTCTCGACTCCGGTGCCTCTTCCTGCTTCTTCCGCGACCGTTCCGCGCTCACGCCGCTTGCTACGCCTGCTGTTGTCTCTCTCGCTGACCCCACTGCGGGTCCGGTCGTCGCTCGCAGCTCTACGTCCCTTCCTTGTCCAGCAGTTCCCTCGAGCTCCCTTACATCTCCACGTTCCCTCGTTCTCGAGGAACCTGGTTGGTGTCGGCTGTCTCCAGGACCTCGGCGTCACCTCCACGGTCCCTGGGCACGAGCGGTTCGCTGTCTGTTCTGAGGCTGTCTCAGGTTTCCCCCTTGCGACATTCCCCCGGGACCCGGTGTCCGGTCTATTCACCCTAGACACCGCTTCCTCCCCGGTTGGTGCGTCCTCCCAGGTCACTGCAGCTTGCTCGTGTCGGTCCCTCACTCACCCGTCCCTTCTCTGGCACCACCGCCTAGGTCACCCTGCCCTCCCACGTCTGCGTCACATGTCCCAGCACGGTCTTGTCTTAGGTTTCCCTGCGTCGCTCCCTGCCCTTCCTCCCTCGACAGCGCCACCGTGCACGCCTTGCGTCGAGGGCCGGCTCCGCCGCTCTCCTCACTCCTCCTCGCTGCGCCCTGCTACTGCCCCCCCTCAGACCCTGCACCTGGACGTTTGGGGCCCTGCCCCCGTCCCCGGACCGCAAGGTGAGCGCTACTTCCTTGTGCTGTGCTCGTCGACGACTAGACGCGCTACACCACGGTGTTTCCCTTGGAGCAGAATGCCAACGGGCCCGACGTTCTTCTCCCGTGGGTCGTAGCTGCGCGTCTTCACCGTGGTCTCCCCGTGTTGTGTCTCCACTCTGACCCTGGCGGCGGGTTCGCCTCTGGTCGGCTTGGACAGTTCTGTCGTGCGGAGGGCATCACCCAGTCGTACACCTTGCCGGACTCGCCACAGCAGAATGGGGTTGCTGAGTGCCGCATCGGCTTGGTCATGGAGGTGGCTCGTACCTCCATGATTCATGAGGATGCCCTTCATTTTCTGTGGCCGTTCGCCGTCTGCTACGCTGCTCACCAGCTTAACCTGTGGCCACGCTCCCAGCGGCCGCGGGTTTCGCCGACCCTGCTTTGGACCGGGTCCCCCGGTGACGCGTCTGCGTTCCACGTCTAGGGTTGCGTTGCCCACGTTCGTGCCTCTGGCACAGACAAGCTCACTGCCCGCACTGTCCCCTGCGTCTTCCTCGGTTTCCCCCTGGACTCGTCTGACTGGCTGTTCTACCACCCGCAATCTCACCGCTTCCTTCACTCTCGTGACATCACCTTTGACGAGTCTGTCTCCTTCTACCATCGCTTCCCTCACCGAGGTCTCCCGGTTCCCTCCCCCTTGTTCCTGGCTCCCTCTCTCCCAGTAGCCCCTGCTCCCCTCCCACCTCGTCCTGCCCCGTCTGGTGTCTCCCATGTCACTCCCCTCCCGTCGGTTGTCCCCGTTGAGGAGTCTGCTGACTCTGGTGGTCCCCCCGGCCCGTCCTTGCCGCGTCCCCCTTCCCCGGTGTCTCCGCCTCCGCTGTCACAGCCGCCGCTGCCGCTCTTGGCCTCTGGGGGTGCTG